AAGTCCAAAACAGACTCATAGAAGGAATGACTTATGACGTGCAGGAAACCCTAATATGGACAAAAGCATCCAGCTATCGCTGTAGCTGAGCTGAATAAAAAGCAGAAAAAAACGTGAAGACAATAAACACACGATTGTGAAAATAAACGGTTTATGTGTGTTTTTCAAGTTATCTCCAGGTAATAAATAAACTTTATGAATAATGCAGTACTGATTTACATCATTTAGTAGCCTCTAGAAACTATAAATTTCCTGCCTTATTCTGTGATAAAAATTGGGAAAAGGTGCTCGTAGTAGCCTTTATATACCGATCATAAAATTGTCATTAGGAAAATATTGCCGAAAATATTATAGCCCCTTGCTGCAGCTAACCTTACTTCCACAGGCTACAAACAGCAATATAAACAACAGCTGTGCATGCTCTCTTCAGGCAGTTCTTGTATAATAATAATAATTTAATACTGTCTATAAGTATACTAGCACACCGCTCCGCTGAGAACTCCACTTACCGGCAGCCGTGGACGTTATGAAGGCATCCTGGTAGTGCGCTACATTAAAGGCGTCTGAACGTTGTGAGACACTTTTTATTATGAATGGATGCGCTTTATTTCACTTCTTTTGGACTGATGCACTGCAACACCCGCTGACTGCCATTAAACAGCTTGGAAGATCAAAGACAATTTTTAATATAACTCCGATTGGATTCATCTGAAAGAAGAAAGTCATATACACCTAGGATGCCTTGAGGGTGAGTACTTCATGGGCTAATTTTCATTTTTGGGTGAACTATCCCTTTAACCACAAAAACATAATAGAAACTCTTTTAAATGTCACTACCATTTTCCTGTTACAAGAATGTTTATGGAAATGTTACATACAGGTAAAGTATGTTATGTTAGCTAATATAACAGTTTAAGATGAGCCAGTTTAGAGAAAACAAATCAATAAACTGTGCATTTAATAAAATATTGAGGTGAAATATCTTTTAATTTGTGTGATATCAATATGTTATTCATGATGATACTCACTTTTCATGTCACATAATATGCATTTGTCAGCAGTTACAAAACGATAAGACTCTGCAACCTCAGCTAATATCTCATTGAGTGTGTTCAAATTAGATGAATTTTAGTGGCCAGTTTTATTCTGTGGAGATGAGGCTAATAATGTTTTAGCTCAATCAATCAATCAATCAATCAATCAATCTTTTTTTTAGTTATGACTACTTACAATGAAATTGTTCAACCAACAAATTGAGTTAAAGTTAAATTAAGTTAAACTTAATTTGCAGCATAAACAAAAGTTTAAGTTGATTACTCAAAAAAAAAGTTGTAGTTGTAGGTCTGAATCTAGTTAAATCTTGTTAATTTTATATATTTCAGATATTTCAGTTTAAATCAACATTTAGTACAGCACATGCTTAAAGGGTTAGTTCACCCAAAAATGAAAATTAGGCTGTGTTTTACTCACCCCTGAGGCATCCTAGGTGTATATGACTTTCTTCTTTCGGACGAATCCAGTTGGAGTTATATTAAAAATTGTCTTTGATCTTTCAAGCTGTTTAATGCCACTCAGCGGGTGTTGCATTGCTTCTGTCCAAAAGAACTTAAATAAAAATCGCCCATCCATAAAAAAAAGTGT